GGCCTGTATCAGGTGCACCTTAGTCTCCAGAGAGACACCGTTGCTCTTGAGTACTTTGGAGAGGTCCCTAACAGCAGACTTTCCCATTGCAATACTACCATGATGTTTATTTGCTGAAAGTAGCTAAGACTGGATGGGAAGCTGACTCATAGTCATTCACAGGCGTTGATATGAACTCTAAGTTTTCTTCATATATGTGGGGAAAATGCTTTTCATCAAAGCATAAATTGAGTTGGTTTTCTTTTCTTAAATTGGAATCAATCATGAGAACAAGTCACACTCTCTAATAATAATGTTCTCACATCAGTGATGAGTTTAAAGGGGAGTCATTGAGTGGTTTTTTAATGTTGTCCTTTTGAAAGTTGGAATACATGGGTAACGAGGTTAAATTTCTCTAAAAGTAAAAAAATGTTAGGAGTATATTAGTACTGTTGTTGTTGTTGATTGCTGTCGAGTAGAGTACAACTCATAGTGACCCAATGAGCAAAAGGTCAGAAGCCTTTCTATAACTATCATCATTTATCAAAGTTCATAGAGTTTCCAGAGATATGTGTTTAGGAAGTGGACTGCTTCCAAAGCCAATCAGTAAAAAATATCTCCTTGAGTGTTGTGCTCTTCTCAGGGATCAAACTGACAAGAGCAACTTTAGCGGATCAGATATGTAGCTTAAGGGGCAGTGAGTCTATGTTAATGGAAACAACTTGAAGAATCTAAACAACTGGCAGGGAATTCCATGTGTAGAAACTTGTTGATTGGTTTACAATAAGAATAGGTATAAAATGGGAAAGCAGCCAATCAGTGGAATTGCTGTTAACTAACGTAAAATGAACTCATCCTGAGAACCAAGTGGTAGTGTACACATGGACTCCAGACACCACAGTAGTTCTCTGAAGAAGGCATTATTGATTTTTCTGTGTTGCAAATGAAGAGGATGTGGTCCAGAATGGTTAGAGAATAAAGAGGTCTAGATGCTGCTGCTGTTGTTGTTGATAGGTACTGCTCAATTGGCTACAGCTCTTAGTGACCAGATGAACAGCAGATTGAAAACTAACCCTCCCCTGTGCCATCCTCACAATCCGTGACATGCTCAAGCCCATTGTAGTCACTGTGTGAGTCCGTCTGTGCACAGCAAATACAGTAAAGCCTGTGAAAACGGAAGTATCTGTAAGGCAGAAATCTATCAGAGAAAGGAAATTCAAGGGCTCAAATAGTTTATTTCCCACTAAAAGTGGAAAGACTTTTATTTATTTATTTTTAATTTTATTAATTTTAATGAACATTTACAGAGATTTTGGATTTGCATTTATTCATTGTTGCATTTTTCTCCCTGCCCAGCCCTCTTCCCCAGTTCGTTCTTCTCTTTGAAAAGCAAAAGAAAAATTCCTTCATTGTTATACAATCCCTCCACCCCCAAGTACACTCCAGTATGCAACCTTCATTCTGGACTCTTAGGATAACCATAATACCCTATCATATATCGCTTTTAAATTGTTTTCTCCCTCATCTTTTTCAATGCAGTATACCTAATTTATCCAGTTTTTCTCAGTCTTACCCAAACCTTGATGTCAGTCCCATTCAACAACAGTGACACTATGAAGTTTTTGTCTTTTTGTGACTGAGATATTAAAAGTGGAAAGACTTTTATACTGTCCCTTGTCAAAGGTGGAAAACTTTTGAGACCCAGAAAACTAAGGCAATCTCACTACATTCCAGCATTTACAAGTTTAAATGCAAAGTGTCTCAGAATCAGATTTCTATTCAGGTCATTAAACAAGGAGGTCATTTTACTCAAGAAGCACAACATTTTTTAGTTCTATCTAGGAAAAAAAAATTGAATTTCAAGTTGGGTGACTTTAAATTCATTCCCATGGTTACCTTCCACAGCTGGAGGCCCCAGATCAGAGAACCGTTAGAAGTTGTGCTTCTTTTACTATTGACAGAAAGGTGGAAAAACATTTCCCAAAATAGACTTTACCCTAGAATTCTTATTTTCAATTCATATTTCAATGTAAAGGAGATTAAAATGTTGCAGATTATATTTATTGACAATTGTTTAAAATTATGGGATTTAGAATTTTAATTTCAATGAGCATTGCTACGCTGTTAGGAACTAATCTATGCAAAGGATGTTCTGGTAACATAATCCTTGGAGAGGTGCTCGGTAACCTAAAGGCCACGTATGGTTGTTTGAATCCACCAGTGGCTGTGCAAGAGAAAAATAGTCTTCTTTGGGGTGATTTACAAGAAAAAACCCCTGATGTCAGCTGAGAGTCAGAACTGACTGGAGAGCAATGCAGGAGAGAGAATTTATGTTGACAATTTATTTAATTCTTCCTCGTAACTCTTGTTGCCAGAGATAAACTCACTGCTGTGGGCTCAACTGTGAGTCATAATGACTCTGAGTAATCAGAGTAGAGCTTCCCATTGGGTTTCAAAGGTTGTAATCTTTACTAAACCAGACTGCTTCTCCCATGGAGATACTGGTGGGATCAAACCACGAATCTTTCAGTTAACAGCTGAATGCTTAACTCTTGAGCCACCTAGGCTTCTTTTATAAAATACAAAGATAATTAAGGCAGCAAACAAAACAATGCGGGAAACAGTATTAAGAGGGCATATTTGATGATGTATTCTGTTATTGTGTTATGTACTTTCAGGTGTTCCAGTGGAGATCATCAGAGAATCCCTTGGTGAAGAGCTTTTCAAAATATGTTACGAGGAAGATGAACATATTCTGGGTGTCGTTGGAGGAACTCTTAAAGATTTTTTGAATAGCTTCAGTACTCTTTTGAAACAGAGCAGCCATTGCCAAGAAACAGAAAAGAGAGACCGGATTGATGACGCCTCCATTCTCTGTCTGGATAAAGATCACAATTTTTTAAACGTCTACTATTTCTTTCCCAAGAGAACAACATCTCTGATTCTTCCAGGTATCATCAAGGCAGCAGCTCACATACTGTACGAAACTGAAGTAGAAGTGTCATTAATGCCATCCTGCTTCCACAACGATTGCACCGAGTTTGTTAACCAACCCTTTTTATCCTATTCTGTTCACATCAAAAGCACCAAACCATCCTTGTCTCCAGGCAAACCACAATCCTCTCTGGTGATCCCTGCATCGCTCTTCTGTAAGACATTTCCCTTCCATTTTATGTTTGACAAAGAGATGACAATTCTGCAATTTGGTAATGGCATTAGAAGGCTTATGAGCCGGAGAGATTTTCAAGGAAAGCCTAATTTTGAAGAGTACTTTGAAATTCTTACTCCAAAAATCAACCAAACATTTAGTGGAATCATGACTATGTTGAATATGCAGTTTGTTGTACGAGTGAGGAGATGGGACAACTCAGTGAAGAAATCTTCAAGGGTAAGGAAAATGGATTCTTATTTGGGGATTTTAGTTTCCATATTTTAAAACTAGGAACAAAAAAAATATCACTCATGGCTTCAAATTATTTGATAAAACAAAGAGTCTAAAATAATTTTAAGGCGGAATACATGTAAAATAGAATCACTTCTGTTTTTGTTTGCTTTCTTCACTCATATGCTTGCTTTGTCTAATTCAAATATTCCTTAAAGATAGCCTACCTTTTAAGAATCTTTTTGGAGTATTGTATAACTAAGTAATTGTTTAAATTAATTTTTCTCTGAAAACATATTTTCAGTAACTAACATAATTTGGCATATTAGGAAGTATTATTTTACAATAAACTGAAAAGACAAAAACACTTATTTCTTACAGGAAACCAAGAAATAGACTTTAGTAACTTTTTAGTAGGAATAGTAAGGCAAATAATTTTAAATTTTTACAGGATATCAGATATAAAGCATAGTCTGTCATCTTCTATGGACTGATTTGGTGATTATTCAATCTCATAGTAAATGCTGAATCGTAGTTTCTTGTGCCAGCAAAGCTAATAGAATCTCTCACGATTTGGAACTGTGAGACATAGAAGACCTCAAGAGAAGGTCTCTTTATTCCCCAAAATTGAATACAGTTGTTTTGGTTTTGCCGTTATAAAACCTGTTTTAAAACCAGTTAATACTTACTCAATCATGCAAAAAATATAAAACATTAGTTTATGTGTGTGTGTGTGTGTGTGTGTATAGATAGATAGATAGATAGATAGATAGATAGATAGATAGATAGTTGTTGCTATATGCTATCCAGTCACCTGTAACTCATAGCAACACAGTGTACAAGAGATCTGAAGCCTGACCTGTCTTGAGCCAGTGTCACTGACTCTGAGACACCAACCTCCATTGCCCCCGTTATATACATATGTATGTGTGTGTGTGTGTGTGTGTGTGTCTTTGTTTAAAACAACAAAAAAATACATTAGTTTACAACTCTTCTTATTTTAAATAAACAAAATAAACAGTATGTGTTGGACATCCTTCCACGTCTTTAGATTTAAGTTCAGGTCAGTTTTGACATGGTATCTGATTTTGACAGTGCATCCCATTTCATGGTTGTACTATAGTAAGCCAGCTCACCATTAAAAGAACATTGTGTTGTTTTTGGTTTTGTGTAGTGAACACACATATACCCACATCATTTATTTGCCCACACTCATAGAAGGAAATCATGTAATATTAGAATGACTACTTGATGTTCTACCTCTGTCAAGGCCCCCATGTTGTCACCCTTTTGTTGGCTGGCCTCTTTACTTATACTGTGAGGGCATTGTTGGTCAAGCACTTAAGACAAAGTTAAAATAGAGAGGTAACCTCTATTACTAGATTCAGTTACTAAAATGTGACATCTCTGGAAAAAGACTTCCGTAGGATATCTTTGGGAAGCTGCTTCTAATGTAAGAACATTAAGATGAAAATCTTACATATGGAGGCTTTGGAACACATAGCTCCGAGGAAAAGAGAAGAGGACGAAAGAAGACACATGCTAAACCTGAAGACCGAAAAGCAAAAACTTAGATTTCTCACAGAGTACAAAAATACGGTAACAAAAGTATAAGTGTATTGCTTAGTAATAAAGCCCTGAAACAAGAATGTTTGCAAATCATGAGTTTGTAGCATATACTCAGTTCTTCAGATGTCTACACACATTTTAGAGTCATAGGAAATTGGAAGTATGTGAAAGCCTATTGTTCTTTTTTTGGTTAGCTAGAAAACTAGAGTTTGAATAGGAGTTGTCACTGTCACTATTTCTTCTTTTGTCTCAGGAAGGTGCTGGAAAACTTGAATAAACCACAATAGGTTCTTTTTTTCTTTTCATAGGTTATGGATCTGAAAGGTCAAATGATCTACATTGTCGAATCTAGTGCAATCTTGTTCCTGGGGTCACCCTGTGTGGACAGATTAGAAGACTTCACCGGACGAGGGCTCTACCTTTCCGACATCCCGATTCATAATGCACTGAGGGATGTGGTCTTGATAGGTGAGCAAGCCCGAGCTCAAGATGGCCTGAAGAAGAGGCTCGGGAAGCTCAAGGCCACCCTTGAACAGGCCCACCAAGCCCTGGAGGAAGAGAAGAAGAAGACAGTCGACCTTCTGTGCTCTATATTTCCCAGTGAAGTTGCTCAGCAGCTGTGGCAAGGACAAGTTGTGCAGGCCAAGAAATTCAACAATGTCACCATGCTCTTCTCAGACATTGTTGGATTCACAGCCATCTGCTCCCAGTGCTCACCCCTGCAGGTCATCACCATGCTCAATGCGCTGTACACCCGTTTCGACCGGCAGTGTGGGGAGCTGGACGTCTACAAGGTAGGGGAGGAGGAGAGAAATAACCACCTCAAAGGCTAGAATCATGGGCGGGGGGGAAACACTGTGCCTAGGACATAAAAAATAATATCAATGTAAGTCTTTCTCTGCAGGGTTGCTCAGACCACATCTTGAACTCACTCATAGGTGTCCTTGTTGTAGTCAAGTGCCACCAAGTCAAATATGACTCAGTAACCTATGAACAGTAGCTTTGAGACCTGCCCTATTCTGTGCCATCCTTGTCATCAGTGATACACTGGAGCCCACTGTTAACAGTCATTGTGTCAAGCCATCTCGTTCAGGTTCTTCTCCTCCTTCCCTGACCCTCCACCTGTCCAAGCATGATATCCTTTTCCAAGAACTGTACACTCCTAACAATTGGCCCAAAATAAGTTAGACTAAGTTTCACTATCTTTGCCTCCAAAGAACACCGTGACTATACCTTTTTCAAGACACACTTGTTTGTTGTTTTATCAGTCCATGGGATGTTCAGCACTCTTCTCCAGCACCACAGCTCAAAATCATGGATTCTTTTTCTGTCATCTTTTTCAAAGGTGCCCATAGACTTTAAAATAGCTCTGAATGTTTTGAGAAACAGATTGTTCCATGAAAGTTTTGCCAAATTGTCTTCTAAAGGAATAAAGCTTAAAGTGGAAAAATGACAGATTGAAAGAAGGTATGGAGTTTGGGACATATGAAAAAGGAAAGTGTGAAAGTCAAATGAACCAGACACAGGGGAGCTCTGGTGGCCTAGTGGCAAGAGGCTGCACTGTAATCCCAGAGGCACACGGTTCAAATCCACCAGATGCTCTGCCGAGGAAGGAGGGCAATCTCCTTCTGTACCAGTTAGGATTTGACGGTACACACACACAAAAATAATAAAATAAAATAAAAATGAATCAGACACATAACAAGACCTCACTTGAAACACTAATCATAATTTGAAATATAAGGGGAAAATTATCCTTTGTGTCTATAAAAATAAATAAATATGAAGATAATAGAAATACCTCTGAAATATAGCAATGCAAGATGTACCTAACCTGATACCACTCATGATCAGTAAATGGACACATGGATCACCTATTTAAGGCATTATTATAGAGATGTCAAAGGGAGAAAATCTTACTTAAAAGAAATATGTCTTAAAAATCATGTCTTCTACCATACTTGCTTTTTAATCTAAGATAACTTCTTCACTTCTAAAACATAAAACACAGTTTACTCACAGAGTTTATGTACATGAAAATATGCATCCTGTCCCATTAATCTTCATGAATAGAAGTGTTAAAACAATTTTGGTAGAGGGTATATGCCATTCTTCTCATTTGTTTAGCTTCAATCATCTTAATTTGCCACATGACAGTTGAGCATTTCAGAGCTTGACCCAACATGAAATTATTTTTGAAGAAATAAGTTATTGAGGAGGAAATAAATATTATTTATGGGAATAAATAAACCCTTGCCTTGTTTCATTCTGGATGTCAGAAGTAAAACTTAGTGTTATGAAAATTCTAACAGGAAATTCCAGGCAGAGCCAAGATTTCTCTTGGGAAAAAAAGAGACTCATGTATAATTACAGATAATATAATTGGTTTCAGTTATATTAAGCTTGATGGCCTCTTGTGGAACTGGCTATATTTGTTTGTAGATATTTTCTGTCTTGGGAATGTTTCCTCTCAGAATTCTTTCCTTTGCTTACTGGTGGGTTTTGAGTGGAAGTTGGCCTCTTCTGATATATCATTCAAGTTATTAGATCTTTTGGGGGTAGAGGGGATTATGCTTATGCCTATCACGTATTCAATGGGAAAGTCTGCTGTTAGGGACCTCTCCAGGGTACTGAAGAGCAATGGTGTAACTCTGGAGACTAAGGTGCGTCGGATACAGGCTACGGTCTTTGCAATCACTTGTTATGCATCAGAGAGCTGGTGCTGGAGAATAGTATTGCATGTACCATGGACTGCTAGGAAAACAGATTCATTCTGGAGAGGGTTAAACCAGGCTGTTCCTTGGAGGCAAGGATTCTGAGGCTTCATCTGACATACTTTGGACATGTTGTAAGGAGGGAGAGGTCCTTGGAGAGGGACATCATGCTTGGGAGGGTGGAGGGACGGCGCAGGAGGGGAAGACCCTCTATGAGGTGGATTGATTCAGTGAAGGAGGTAATGGGATGGGTGTGTCAGAGACAGTGTGATTGGCACAGGATAGAGCAGGATTTAGGGCTATTATACATAGGGTCACTATGAGTCACAAGAGACCCAATGGCACATAACAACAACAACAACATCATGTATTCAGAAACTGTGCTCCTTACACAGATGGTTGGTCACGAGAAGAGCTTTTGATTAACCTTGCTATAGCTTGAGCTAAGATAGGGAATTACCTTCCTATTATTTCTGTTGTCTTTGACTTTTGATTGTATGCAAAGATCGCTAGAGATAATTGAAAATAAAAGAGGATTTTAACCAATGATTAAAGTTAAGCTATAAATTCATTCCCATCAAGTTGATTCTGACTCATAGAAACCCTGTAGATTTTCCAAGGCTCCAAACATTAGGGCAATGTTTGACTTCCACTGAAATGATTGTTTGACTGCAACACAGAACTGAAAGTTTAAACCCATCAGACACTTTGCAATATAAAGGTGTTGTGTTCACGAATGTAAAGATTATTGTTGTTGTTGTTGATTGACATAGAGTAGAGCACAATTAATAACAACCCTATGAACAAAAGACCTGAAACCATTCTACAACTACTGTCATTTCTCAAAGTTCATAGACTTTCCAGAGGCATGCTTTTTAGGAAGTGGATGCAACTCCTGCTTCCAAACTTGTCTTAAACTGGAAACTCCACCAAACACTGTCCACCATGGTTAACCATTATGACATTTGATACCCCAGTATCACAAGGTTCAGCATCACAACAACCCCAGATTACCTCAGTACAGCATATTAACAGAAGAGTGCTGTAGCTCTTAGAAAAATGTTCCCCCAAAATATAATAACAATCAACTTTTATATAGCCCTCCATGTTGATAAGATTACGTTGGACACCCTTAGGGACAGTTCTGCTCTGTCCTGTGTGGCCACATGAGTTGAAAAATCTACTGGCTAGCAAAAGAGTTAGTACTTTTCTTTGTAAGCAGACTACTGCCTCTTTCTCCTGCACTGACCTCTTAGTTTACAGCTAAGCACTTAACCACTATACTGCTAGAGCTCATCAATTTAAAATAAACATAATCTATAATGTTGAATGACCTATGAGTGATGGCTTCCATAGAATAAAAACACTTCACTGCTGCTGAGCTGATTCCAACTTATAGTGACTTGAAAGTCAGGTTGTGCAGGTAGAAAGCATAACAGAAGAACATTGCCCATCTTTCTCCCTTACAATTAGTGATAGTTTCAAACTACTACTAAGCATTTGGGTTACCACTGCAGTAGACTATGCTACCACAGATACCCAAAGAATATTGTTAGATGCTTTCAAGTTGACTATTCTTCACAGCAACCCTATGAACAGCAGATATGAACCTTGCTCTAAGCTGTGCATCATCCTTAAGTTCTCTGACATGCTCATAGACATTGCTCGCTGTGTCAGTCCATCTTATACAGAATCAAACTCTTTCTTACTAACTATCTAACTTTCCCATAATGTTATCTTCTTCCAAGGACTGGCCACTCCTGATAACATGTGAAACAAAGTTTCATCATCCTTGCCTCTAAGAAGCACTAAAATTACACTTTCTCCAAAACAAATTTGTTTGTCCTTTTGACAACCCATGGAATATCCAATGTTATTTGCCTTTACCACTGTTCAAAAGAATTTATGCTTCTACTCTCATCCTTGTTCATTGTCTGATTTTCAGATGGCATAAGAAGGAATTGAAAATATGGCTTGGATAAAGAGCACTCTAGACTTTAAACTGACATCCTTGCTATTTAGCACTTTGGAGAGATCTGTGACAGAGGATTCCCTCAGTGCAATGCATTTCTTGATTTCTTGACTGTTAATATCATGGGTGCATTGGTGTTGAGTTTTGAGCCAAATAAAATAACTGACAACTTCAGTCTTTTCTCTATCATGATGTTGCCTATTGACAGCGGTGAGGATTTTGTTTTCTTTTTTTTATGATTATTTCTTTTTTGGGGGGGGTTCTCATTCATTCATTGTTGCACTGTTTTCTCTACCCTCCTCCCCAATTCGTTCTTCTCCCCCCCCCGAATGTCTGTTTTAATTGTCCAATTGCCACAGTGCTTGTCAAAGCCAGTTCTGATTAATCTCCTTTGTCAGTGTGCCCTTTGCCATTCTCTATCTCTCCTCCCTGAGAGAGACTTCACCCTGATTCATAAGGAAAAGGGGATGGCGTATTCTCTTAGCTACTTCCTGCTGAAAAGGGATGTTGTGGGTTTCAGGGTGAAGATCTTCTCACTACTCTAAAGGGCCCCTTTGGCAGTAGGAAACACATAGACTATTATGGAGATTGATTTTGGAATTTAGATGCACTGTTATTAATTGTGCTTAGCTGTACATTTTCATATCCTTGAAGATGTATCATGGGGGTGTTGCAACCTAGAAGACACAAATTTAACTAAAAGATATAATCCACAGTGAATACTGTAATCTTTGATCTTCAATAAGTGTTTCAAGTCCTCTTTACTTTCTGAAAGTAAAGTTGTGCCAATTGTGTAACAGTTTGTTGTTGAGTCTTCCTCTAATCTTGATACCACATTGTGTATCATAGAATCCAGCTTCTCAAATCATTTGGTCAGCATACCAATTGAATAGGTCGGAGGGGAAAGATATAAACCTTGTATACAAACCAATATAAAATAAAAATAAGTTTTATAAAGGAGAGATGTGCCCAAAAGCTCCCTAGAAGTAAGGATTACTCTAGAAACATTATCAGGAAAGAGAGACTGGTATAAAGCATAACTGTGTGTAACTAACTAGAGGCTCAGAGCAAATGAGAGAAGGAACCTATTAATCTACTCAAACTAATTTAAGACTAATTTGGTCATTTTTCTGGTTGTTGTTTGTTGTTATGTACCATCAGTTCTTAGTATATTCAGTATTCTTCAGCAGCAGCACAATTCGGATGCACTAGTTCTTCTTTAGATTGTATTTTAGTTGATGTATGCTATCAAGTTGGAACTGACTCATAGCTGACCTGCCAGAAAGTTTTCAGAGGCAGCAAATTGCATAATAAAATACTGCCCAACCTTCTCCCACACAGCAGCTGGTAGTGTGAAACCGTGTGCCTTCAAGATTGCAGCACAGCTTCTTACCACTAAGCCACCAGGGTTTTTAAAACTTCATATAATTCCTGTCCTTTTTTTAATCACTTGGTCATTTTTATGTTCTGTATTCATTTACCCATTTTATAAGCAAATATTTACTTGTCAACCACCATTTTCAGCATAAGAACAAATAGATAGACAGATACTTTTCGTCTCCTGTGACTTATACATAATCCCTGTAAGAAAACAGTGCATGTGTGTGAGAAGATTTTGTGGAAAGAAATTAGAACAGAGTTGACATATGCCAATTTCCACATGATTTGATAGATGTCTGTTTTCACTCACTGAGATATTAGAAGTGTATCCAAATAAAAGAACATTAGCATAAACACTTTAGCTCAAGCAGAGGTCATGCACTACGTGGATCTCCTAATTATTAACAGTTATTGTTGGTTTATGATACGTTGGGGAAGTTCTTGTGGTTGGTCTGTCTGTAGGAGTTATGCTGCTAATCCAAGCACTGCTTCTCCAGCAGTTCACATCTACCAACGACACTCAAGAAGGAAGATGGACAGTCTCCTCCCATTGCAATTTACAACCGTGGAAATCTGACAGAGGGTTTCTATGAGGTGGCAGTGGTGTTTTAATTTATTTCGTGATATATTAGCCATTGCAGTAAGAATTTTTGACGTGTTCATTTCTGAGGTAAATTTTATAGGTTCATTGCTACCTGGACCCTCTATTCAACAAATAATAAGAACTCATGAGGCAGTGAAGTAGTGAACAAACTAGATAAACTCTAATATCTGACATTTAACTGGGGGATAGAAAGATAAATAGGAAATGGTTTAGTTGATGCAAATATTAGGACAGAAAAATTCAAGTGTGAAAATGCAGAGTAGTAAAGAGGTGGTTACTGTTGAATAGATGGTGATCAGGGTAGACCTTCCTTGAGAAGGTAATGTTTTATCCAGGACTAAAGGAAATAAAAAACAAGCTAAGTGATTTCCTACAAGGAGAGTGTCTACAGCAAAAAGAGTAGCAAGTGGGAACATCTTAGGTGTGTTAGAGAGTTAACTAAGATATGACTGCGTGAGAACAAGGTAAAAAAGCAGGAGAATTATGGGATAAAAACAGATTAGCCGGAAGTTTGGTCAAGAGCCTTGGAGCCATTATATCAGAGTAAAGGCACGAGCATTTATCAGAGAAAAGTACAGAAATTACTGAAGGAGTTTGTAATTTTATTGTTACTTAATTCTCCCCAATTCATTCTCATTGGAAGCTTTTAATAAGAACATGACACAGCTTTATTATTTTAAATAAATATTTAAAGAGAAAAAATTGAAATGGTTAGAATTTCAACTTGTTTGGCTCTAACTAACACTCTTGGCACCAGAGCAGTCAGGAAATCAAAAGACTAATTACACTGGGGAAGTGTGCTGTCAGAGACCTCTACAAAGTGCTAAAGAGCAATGATGTCAGCATAGAGACTAAGGTGTGCCTGCTTCAGGCTTGTCTTTGCAATTACATGATTGTGCAGCAGAGAGCTGGACAATGAATAAGGGTGATAGAAGAAGAATCAATGCCTTTGAGTTGTGGTTCTGGAGAAGAGTATTCAACATACCATGGACTGCAAAGAGAACAAACAGGTGTGTTGTGGAGAGGGTGAAATCAGGTTTCTCCTTGGAGGCTAGAATTTTGAAGTGGTTGTCTCACACACTTTGGGCGCGTGGCCAGAAGGGATCAGTCCTTGGAGAAGGATGCTTGGAAGGGTGGAGGAACAGTGCAGAAGAGGAGGGCCCACATAAGATGGATTGACACAGTAACTGCGGCAATGGGGGTAGGTATGTTGGTGTCAGTGATGTTAGCTATGGGTTACAAGTGACTCAATGGCACAAAACAACAACAGAATTTGGAGTATATTTTATGGGTCTATTAGCTGCATGTAATGAATATTATAAATAAGTAAAAATATCCTACAAAGACAATAATGATAGTGAAAATAATATTTGGAATTTATATAGCACTATTGATTTCCAGTAGCCTCAAAAGTACCATAGATTTTAATCTCCTGGTTAGACTATAATTTATGTATTTTGCGACTAATATTATTGCAGATTATTAAAAGTACTAGAAAACTTTCACAAATCTTTTAGAAGACTTATTATCTTTATTGACTATTTATGCCTTAATTTTACACATTCTTATAGTAATAAATTACATATTTAATAACAACTTCATAAAATCATTGCTTTAGGCTGAAGGGGATATAAAGTCAGTAGTTGATATTATTACCTTTATTACATATCCTAAGGCGATATAAAATCAGTAGTTGATACTGTTCCCTTTATTACACAGAGTCTAAATCCAAAATGTATCAATTTTTTTCTTCAAAAGCCATTTTGCATAGTGGGAAAGAAAAAAAAATTCAGTAGCATCATAAGAAGTTCAGGACCCAGGTGTAAGGGGTCCAATCCTTTTGAATTTCCTGGAAAAGTGTTTACATTCACTTAGGTATGTGACCATTTCTGTGAGTCCCTTATTTACTGTATTTTCCAAAGGGTCTAAATGTTGAATGAAGTGTCTGCTAATAGTTATTAATCTCTGCTCTATGATTTAGGCTATGTCTCTTAAGTTTCGCTGATAATATGGAAAATCTGGTATGTGCAGGTGGAGACCATAGGTGATGCATATTGTGTTGCTGGAGGATTGCACAGAGAAAGTGATACTCACGCCGTTCAAATAGCGCTGATGGCCCTCAAGATGATGGAGCTCTCCGATGAAGTCATGTCTCCCCATGGAGAACCTATTAAGGTATGCATCTTCATTATCTAATTGTGCTGTAACAAAAATGCCACAATTTATTCTTTTATAGTTGAAGAGACAAGAAGTCTGAATTTAGAGTGTCACCTCTCAAGGAAAGCTTTCTCTTTGTGTGGGCTCCGGCAGAAGGCCGTTGTCTCCTTTACTTAACTGTGAATTTGCAGCATTCTTCCTATGTATCACGTCAGGCTTCCCCTGAGTCTAGAAGGTTCTCAGTTGATCCACTTCTAGCTCTTCTTTCTTGTTTGTCTGTCCCTCTGATCTCTACTTGAATGTTCAGAGCATAGTTGCAGAGAACAATATCATCTCTAACCCATTTAAGCAGGAATAAACTTACGCTAAGGAAGTAAAAGGCTCACAGAATTACTGAGGCTGAAGACACTATCTGTCATCTGGGTTTTCAACAATACTTCCAACTCAGTACTTCACAACTTTCTGTTGATGTTAGAAAAAGATTGGATGCAGCTGTGATTGCCAACCAAGTGTTTTTGTGTGACTGCTCTACACATAGTAGTCAGACCTCCACCAGCATGATTTATGCCTCAGCAGACTAGATCTGTGAGAGCAGCCTGGACTTTTGTGATCTAAGCTTTAAAGTTTCACAGTTACCCTTTTATTCTCTTAAATTTGGCAAAAGCCTGCCCCAGGAGGAGGAGATTTAGACTCATCACTCAATAGGATTTGCCAGTACCTTTGCAAGCCACCACATTATGTGATTGTTACAGTCTATAATAGCTTTTATTCCCTCCACTCAAGGTAATTTTTTTCCTCTTTCTGAGTTTGTATATGTGTGTGAACTCTATGTGTGTGTGGTTGGGAGAAGAAAGAGGACACACAACATCAAAGTAAAATGAACTTTGCTATTACTCAGTTGTTATTTGCTGCTGTCAAGTTGACAAAAACCATATGAACAGTAGTAAATCTGAACCTTGTATTATCCTGCACCATCCTATGATACCTGTCATGCTCAAGCTTATTAGTTACCATGTTAATCCATCTTGTTGAAGGTCTTCTCTTTCACTGATCTTTCACAGCATACTGTCTCCCTTTGTGGACTGGTTCCATTCTTACTTAAAAAGCACTTTGGTTGTAATGTTGTTGTTATTGTTGATGATGATGATTGCCATCAAGTCAAGCACAATTCATAGTGACCCTTAAACAAAAGGTTAGAAGCCTTTCTGTAATGATCACCATATATCAAAGTTCATACAGTTTCCAGAGGCATGCTGTTTAGGAAGTGGATGCCACTCCTGTTTCCAAACCTGTCTTAAACTGAGAGCTCCACTGAACACTGTCCACCACGGGTAACCATTATGGCATTTGCTATCCTAATGGCACAAAGTTCAGTATCTCAGAAACCCCAGGTTACCTCAGTATGGCGTATTGACAGAAGAGTGCTGTAGCACTTAGAAGAATGTTCCTCCAAAATATAATAACAACTGACTTTTAAATAAAAACACCCTCCCCAGAGTCTTGGTGACTCTAAACTAGAGGCCTGGGGCAATGGGGGTTGGTGAATAGAATTGGTTGTAGTAAGACCAGTAATTTTCATATAATTGTATTCTTGTAATGAAGAGGTATATGCTTGGGACAGAATATTAGTTGCATGATTTTTGTAAGTAGAAATTAAATTTTATGTTTGGACAATTGGAAGGAGTAGTTAAACTTAATTTCAAAGATAATTACCTGGGTAATAACAGTTAACCTTAGAATTTATAAAGTGATGTGTTGAACATACTTTATATACATATATACTAGGGGACTCTGATGGCCTAGTGCTAAGAAGTTGCACTGCAAACCCAAAGGGATGTGGTTCAAACCACCAGTTGCTCTGTGGGAGAAGGATAGACATCTTTTCCTGAGTGATTAACAGACTTTGAAAACCCGCTAGAGAGTCAGCTATGGGCAGATTCTGACTCGATAGTACTCAACAACAAATAACTCAATCTACCCTCTAAGGATGGATGGTGAAGAGATTGAGATTGTTCACAGCTTTAGTTTGCTTGGCTCCACAATCAACACTCTTGGAACCAGCAGTCAGGAAATTAAAAGACATATTGCTATGGAAAAGTGTGCTATTAGGGACCTCTCCAAAGTACCAAAGAGCAATGGTGTCTCTCTAGAGACTAAGGTGTATCTGATACACGCCAGGGTCTTTGCAATCTCTTGTTATGCATCAGAGAGTTGGACAATGATTAGGGAGGATAGAAGGAGAATTGATGCCTTTGAGCTGTGGTGCTGGAGAAGAGTATTGAAGATACCATGGACTGCTAGGAAAACAAACAGATTCATGATGGAGAGGGTTAAACCGGACTGCTCCTTGGAGACAAGGATTCTGAGGTTTTGTCTGACATACTGTGGACATGTTGTAAGAAGGGACCAGTCCTTGGAGAGGGACATCATGCTTGGGAGGGTGGAGGCACAGCGCAGGAGAGGAAGGCCCTCTATGAGGTGGATTGATTCAGTGACTGGGGTAATCAGGATGGGTGTGTCAGAGGCTGTACAATTGGCACAGGACACAGTAGAGTTTAGGGCTATTGTACATAGGGTCACTGTGAGTCGCAAGCAACTCGATGGCACGTAACCACAACAACAACACGATTCTATGAAGTTTCTGTTGTTGTTATTGCATACTATCAAGTCAGAGAAGGTTTTAAGAGGAGATTGCCCATTTTTCTCCCACAGAGCATCTGGTGGATTTGAGCCGCCTGCCTTTGGGATTTCAGTGCAGCTTCTTACCATTAGGCCGCCGAAGCTCGCTAAAGTTTCTGTTATTTTTGTTCTTGTTGTTGTTGAGTACTGTAGAGTTGGAACCAACCCATAGCTGACCCTCTGGTGGGTTTTCTGAAGCAGTTAATCGCACAAGAGATTGCCCATCCTTTTCCTGCAAAGTTTTTACTAGATGTTTTAAAATAGCTTTGAAACTAGGTAGAATTAGTCTTCTAATTTTAAATTTCTAAATTTACTTTAATTACAGAGTACCTGACTGTTGTTTAAATGCTTATATGTAATAAAGCTTTAAAAAGATCAACTATATATAGAAATTACTAATAATGAACATCATATGGTGTCTGAGTATCATTTTGAGTACTCCTTCTTTAATTCGCTTTGTTTCAGCAGTAATTTAAGAACGTGTGCATCTCCTACGATCTTCTCCTTGGAGATTCCAGTTTATAAAACTCTGTTTCAGTGATTCCAAGTCCCTGACAAAATTCTGAATCCCTAGACTTCCAACACACATCCCAGACTCTCTCATGTTTTTAAGTCATAAAACTCAAATTGTTGTGTGAGGTCAGAATTTAGTTTAGTGTTATTTGTCACGTATTTTTATGTCTGGGTGGTACAAATAGTTAACATCCTTGCTACTAACCAGAAGGCTGGAGCCTCAAGTCTCCCCAGATGTGCCTTGGAAGAAAGGCCTGATGATCTTTTATGAAAACAAAAAAAAGCTATTTAAAAGCCTCCAGAGCACAATTCTTCTCTAATATACGTGAGGTCACCTGGAGTTTTGTTTGAATGGTTTATGGGCTTTTCTCATACAAGCCTAAGCAAACCCAACTTTCTACTTTTTTATATTTTCTGCTTAAATACTACAGGGTCTTTCACCATTTCTTGGTCATTGGTCTAGTGGAATGGTTTTGGTACACATGTCTTTTTTTTAAAAAAAAAATTATCTAACAACTTTCATTTATATTCATAAGGCAGGCTTCCCTGTCAGATTTTTACAACTAACGGAGCCCAGATATTATGTCTGATATCATCCGGTGAACAGATTTAGTTTAAACAGACAACCCATAAACACTTTCTCATATGGCAACTGTAATAGATGGTCATAGACATGGAAATTTGTTTTCATGAAGTGAAGATGGTCTGTGTAATAAAAGCGGTTTAAGATGTGTGATTATTGATTGTGAATGACTAACATGTACAGAGTAGAGGGCAGTTGGCTACAGAAAGGAGGAGTGATATGGTGAGAGTGAATGGTGAAATGTGTGGTACACAGGGCATGTCAGACCTAGTGACATCTGAAAAGTGCTTGACAAATGACCAAGAACACTGTTTTGCTTTCAGATGCGAATTGGACTGCATTCTGGCTCAGTTTTTGCTGGAGTAGTTGGAGTTAAAATGCCCCGCTACTGTCTCTTTGGGAACAATGTCACCCTGGCCAACAAATTTGAGTCCTGCAGTGTCCCACGGAAGATCAATGTCAGTCCAACCACTTACAGGTACAGATGACACTAAATAACCCAAATCTGTTCTCTTTATTTATATACAATTTAAATCTCCGTAATTTGGAACCTTGCTTAGATAATTGTTAGTAAAAGAGAAATACAATAACTTTCATCATACTTTCTTTAAACTTACACCTTTTTTTCAGCTTTACTTAAAAAAAAAACACAAAACAAACACACGCAAAACTCATTAGTCTCCTGTGAGCAACTCTCCTGGGATATTCATAGACCACTTGCAATCTTTGACTGATATATCTTCAAGCTCCGTAACTCTCCCTTTACAAGTTTATATTAATGCTGTTTGTGCACTGGAAAGCATTTTACTAAGTATGCAGAATATTATAGGGTAGCAAAATAGGCTAACATAGTAAAAGCAGGACCATGTAATAAATAAATAAATGCAAACATTTCTTTGACAACTTGCAGTAGGGAGCTTGAGTCAGTAAAATCTGTCATCTAGGCAGATTAATTTAGCCCTTCTTAACTGATAGCAATTTAAGAAGGGCGGATAGATAGATCGATAAATAGATAGATAGATAGATAGATAGATAGATAGATAGATAGATAGATAGATAGATAGATCTGGTGGCCTAGTGGGTAAGAAATTGTGCTGCCAATAAAGACAGATGGTTAGAATCCACCAGCTGCTTTGTCGAAGAGAGATGAACAGTCTCGTCCCATTAACTTACAACCTCTGAAAATCCACTGATCGTTGGTCAGCTGTGAGTTGGTTCAAAATCAGTGTTAAGCACACACACACATACATGTACACACAGAGAGATAGATGCAAATCTATTTGTGTTTTATTTGGCATATCTATTTGTGTTTTATTGACTGTACAAAGGGATTTGACTATGTGGATCATAAGAAGCTGTGGCCAACATTGAGAAGAACAGGAATTCCAGAACACTTAATTATGCTTAAACAAAACCTATACCTAGACCACAATTTGTGGCTAACTTTGAGGAAAATGGGAATCCCAGAACACTTGATTGTGCTTATGCAAAACCAGTACTCAGACCAGGAAACAGTTCTCAGAACTAGGCAAGAAAACCCTGTATGGTTCAAAATTATGAAAGGAGTGCGTCAGAGATGCATTCTGTCTCCATACCTTTTCAATCAATCTGTATGCAGAACAGATCATTCAGGAGGCTGGCATCAAGATTGGAGGAATACTCATCAACAACCTGCGTTATGCAGATGAAACAACCCTGCTTGCTGAAACAGAGGAGGACCTGACACGCTTGCTACAGAAGGTCCAAGATTATATTATAGTCTTCAATATGGATAGAAGCTCAACATCAAGAAGACAAATATTCTTACTCCTGGGCCAATTAGCAGCATCCTGATAGATGGAGAAGAAATTAAAGTCGTTAACAATTTCAGTTTGTTCAGCTCCACAATCAACACTCTTAGCACCAGCTTGCAAAAAGTTCAAAACCAAGCCAAACTCAATGCCATCTACTCAGCTTTGAACTGTAATGATTCTGTAGCAGAGTAAAACTGCCCCATAGAATTCCCAAGGTTGTCTGACAGAAAGACAGACAATCTCCTTGATGTGATTTACAGCCTCAGAAAACCAGATTGAGCTATAAGTTGCTATTGACCTGCTATAAGATTGAGCTATAATTTTATTCCAACTCATGGGCAAGGAGTCTGAGCATTTTGGGGGAGTTGGTTTGTGGGTTTTTTTTCTTTTAAGTCTTCATAAAATTAGATCACCACATCTTTCTCCACCAGGACAAATAGTGAATTTGGATCATCAACTATTTTGTTAGCAGCTAACCACTTAACCACTGTGCTATCTAAAGTATTCCAAGGAGTTGATATTGTTAGTTTCCATTGTGTCAAAGACAACTCATAGTAACCCTATAAGTGAAAGATCTAAATCTTGTATTATTCCGTGTCATCCTCATCAATTATGACATCCTTAAGCTCATTGCCACCGTACCTGTATCAGTTCATCTCATTGAAGGTTGTCTTCTTTTTTTCTGACCATCCTCTTTTTTCCAGCATAATGCTCCATTCCAAGGAATAGCCTGTCCTAATAATATACCCAAAGTATTTGAGATAAACTTTACAAACCTTGCCTCTCAAGAGCACTCTGGTTGCACTTTCTCCAAGACATACCTGTTTGTTCTCTTTGACAGTCCACGGGAAATTCAGTACTCTTCTACAATACCACAACTCAAATGTTTTGATTCTTTTTCTATCATCCTTATTTATTGTCTAAGCTGTCAGATTCATAACAAGTGATTGGAAAGACTATGGTTCTAATCAGGTATTTTTAGACTTTAAACTCACAAGATTACACTTCAGGACTATAACAGCAGAATTTCTCAATGCTGTTATGTCCCCAGACCTCCTGACTACTGGTATGATGGGTACTGACTGCGTATCCCAAGTAAGTTGAAATTGTTCACAATTTCAGTCTTTCCATCTTTCATTGCCTAATTGCACAGAGGTGAAGATCTTTGTTTGTTTTTTTTATGTTGAGATGTTATCCATACTGAAGGTTGTACTCCTTGATCCCCTGAAGTAAATGCTTCAAGTTCTCCTCACTTTCAAGAGGCAATGCATGTTGTTGATGAGTTTTCCTCCCATCTCAATACAACATTCTTCGGCATATAGTCCGATTTCTTTAATTATATCAGTATACAGAAAGAATAGGCGTGGAGAAAGTATATGTTCCTGACATACCTCCTTCTTGATTTTAAACAATGCAATATTCCTTTTGTCTGTTTGGACCCAAATCTTCTTAGGCTAGGGATAGATTTCACATAAGTGTAGTTGTGTCCTAGAATTCTCATTCTTCTCGATATCAGCCATAATTTGTTATGATCCACACAATGAAATGCCTTTGGATAGCCAGTGAAACACAGATAGTCATTCTTCTGGTATTCCCTGCTTTCAACCAGGATCCATCTGATATCAGGCCATGGTGCTGTGATCTGCATCAACTTGAACTTCTGGCAGTTCTCTGCCAATGTACTGTTACAGACTTTTTTAAGATATTCAGCTACATTTTTCTTGGATATAATAGAATGATATTAGTTGATAATTTCCACATTCTACTGGATCACTTTTCTTGGAAATGGGGACAAATATGGATCTCTTTTAGTCACTTGGCCAGGTTGTTGTCTTCCAAATTTCCTGGAATAGGCTGATGAGGACGTCCAGGGCTGCATGTGTTAGTTGAAACATGTCAATTGGTGTCACATCGATTACTGGAGCTTCCCCTGCACTAAGTGCAGCTTGGATTTCTCCCTCATCAAAATTTTTTCTTTATCCTCTGCTACTCTTTAAATAGTTCAGTGTTGGCCAATTCTTTTTGGTTCAATGACTATGCATGCCATCAATCTTCTTTTGATGCTTCCTAGATCATTCAAGATTTTTTCATATCATCTCTTAGTGTTTCAATTTGAGGCTTACATATGCTTTTCAGTTCTTTCAACTTGAGAAATTTCAAGAAAGTTCTTCTTTCCCCCCCCCTTTTTTCATTGTTGCTGTTGTTGTTATGTGCCATTGAGTTGCTTGAGACTCATAGTGACCCTATGTACAACAGCCCTAAACTCTTCTCTGTCCTGTGCCAGTTGCACTATCTCCAATACACCCATCCCTATTACCCCAGTCACTGAATCAATCCACCTCATATAGGGCCTTCCCCTCCTGTACTGTCCCTCCACTACCCAGCATGATGTCCCTCTCCAAGGACCACTCCCTTCTTACAACATGTCCAAAGTATGTTAGACGGAGTCTAAGAATCCTTGCCTCCAGGGAGCCAACTGGTTTAACCCTTTCCAGGATGAAACTGTTTTTCCTAGCAGTCCATGGTAGGTTCAGTACTCTTCTCCAGCACCACAGCTCAAAGGCCTCAATTCTCCTTCTATCCTCCTTAGTCACTGTCTAACTCTCTGGTGCATAACAAGTGATATCAAATACCATGGCCTGTGTTAGATTCACCATAGTCTCCAGAGTGACACCATTGCTCTTCAGTACTTTGGAGAGGTCCCTAACAGCAGACTTCCCATCATAATATGCCTTTTAATTTCCTGGCTACTGGTGCGGAGAGTCTTGACTGTGGAGCCAAGCAAACTAAAGCTGTGAACAATCTCAATCTCTTCACCATCCATCCTGATGCTGCCAATTGGCCCAGTGGTGAGAATCTTTGTCTTCTTGACATTGAGCCTCAATCCATATTGGAGGCTGCAGTCCTTGACCCTCTGCAGCAAGTGCTTCAGGTCCTCCTCAGTTTCAGCAAGCAGGGTTGTGTCATCTGAATAGCCCAGATTGTTGATGAATCTTCCTCCAATCCTGACACCACACTTCTCCTCATAGAGCACAGGCTCCCGGATAATCTGTTCTGCATATGGGTTGAAAAGGTATGGAGACAGGACACATCCCTGGTGTACGCTCTTCCCAATTTTGAACAATACAGTGTTCCCTTGCTCTGTTCTGATGACTGCCTCTTGGTCCAAGTATAGGTTTCACATTAGCATGATCAAATGTTCTGGGATTTCCATTCTTCTCAGAGTCAGCCACAGTTTGTTATTATCCACACAGTCAAATGCCTTTGTATAATCAATGAAACACAGATAGACATTTCTTTTTTCATTATATTAGTTTATTTATAAAATTCATTGTTTTTCATACAAAATTCTTGCAGTTTCCCTCACCTGCAACCCATCAACTTGTACAACTCTATGGTTAATCCCCCAACCCACACATCCTCATCCCTCTCTTTACACTACCTACCCCTTGGATCCTCATAGTCATTCTACAATAATGGTTTTATACAATATTTGTCCTGTGGGACAGAGTTATTTCACTTAGCATAATGCTCTCCAGCATGCATGAGCAATGATTTTGTAAATTATTACCTAACTTGAGAGGGACTGGAGAACATTATGCTGAGTTCTTCTCTTTTTATTCTCCAACTTCGGCTCTTTTCACATTCCATTATAATTTTTTCTCGGTCTTCCTGAGTTGCCATT